TGGGGTGCCCGATTATGTCTGTCTATAGATACAACTTTTTTCTCCCTTTTCCCCTTCATCTTTCCCTGACCTCTTGTTCCCTCCCTCCTTCCTTTCCTTCTCCTTTCCCTTCTCCCCTCTCTTTCTCCCTCCCTCCCTCCCTCCCTCTCTCTCCCTCCTTTCTGGGACTGGAACCCAGGCCTGCACACACTATGCCTGTGCTTTTTCAGTGAGTTATACCCCCAGCCCTATATATTCCATTCTAACCCTACACACATCTCAAGCAATCCATGCAGAATTCACTTTGTATCTTAATAGCCATAATATTTTAAATCCATCATTAAATTTCTATAATTTCACAATGATCAATTATGTTTTCCAAAATCTTTTAAGGCTTATGTTAAGATGTGCAATAAGGAATGATAGCATTCTTATTTTCAATAATGGCATCATTAACTTACCATCATTACCTCCTCTATGAGGATGATTATCGTGGTAGTTATTGTCAAATCTTACCATTTTTGAAAATGATGTGGTTTACTAAGAATTTTTTTTCAGGATTTAAATGGCAATACAAAGTAAATAATTTAAACCAAACCTATCTCCTTTTCTCAATTAGCTGGATAATTTAAACAAAAGTCACCAAGGAGGGAATCACGAATGTTCAAAGTGATCTGACCTTTGGGTCTCAGTCTACCATGTATATAACTTTGAAATTGTTTGCTTAAAAATGGTGCATTGCCCTTTCTTGGAAAATATACAACACTATTTTACCTTAGACCATTTTCAAGTTTTAATAAGAATTTAATAGCCTTGGGTTTAGAGGCAGTCAGAGCAAAGTTGTTGAATTTAATAGAGGCTAACATATGGGTAGGGTTTTAAACAGCCATTCCAATCTAAACCCCAAAATGACTTCAATCAGCAGGTATTCCGATGTTTATTTAATGAAGAGATAGATGTGTGAGCAGCTGCCGCTTCCCATTTTCAGATGTAGTTAGCTTTCATTGCTCTGCAACAAACCAGGAAGAGCAGATTTCAGCTGTAATTTGGGACCATTCTATTAGATATGTAGGGCTATGCCAGTAGATTCATAAACAAGAGCAATGAGGCCAGTTTAAGGAAGAAAATCAAATAGAATAACCCCAGGGATGAAAACTGTGGGTTGTTTGGGGATCTATTGCTTTGTTTCTAGGTCATACAAGTATTCAAGTTTAGATTAAACCTTAATGGCCTTTATATAGACAAATAAAAATCCAACCTGACACTGATTTTTGACTGACCTAGTGGTTGCATTGCAGATGGACATGTGAAGTTATTTTTTGTTTCCCAGTGTATGGTGGGTGTTGTCAGCACCTTAATATGCTCCTAAGAAAGCCAGAAGAGTGATAGACAATTGGGGCTGTGATTTGGCCTGGGCAGACATTCCGACCATAGGGAGAGCTAATTTAAATGTATAGTCCTTTTCAGTGCACTTCGAGCCAGGTTGACTATGGATTTGGGGCCTGTGCGTATTTACCTTTTTGGTATAGCTGTGCCTTTTGAACAATTATACATTACAGGAACATGTGGTGATCTCTCTCTCTCTCTCTCTCTCTCTCTCTCTCTCTCTCTCTCATCACTAACACATGCTGGACCTCTTACAAAGGAACAAAATTGGTAGTTTTCACCCCTAATAGACTCCCTGCTTAAGAGACTAATTATAAGAACCTTTTTCTAACTCTGGCCTTAGGGGTAGCGTTAACTACAGTCTCACAACTTTTACCTGCTATTTCTTATAAACACTTCCCAAGTTTGGTGGTGGGAGTCAGTTCAGAATGGTAGCCCTGAGTCTACTGGAAAGTGGCCTACAGTAATACATATTAAGTCTAAGTTAAATTATATTTTTAACTATACAGGGGCAGTACAAATGATGAATTTATTTGGGAAGTTCATTGTTTTTCTTTTTAGTCTTACTGAAACACATACTTATTTTTAAATGTGTTTGTTGGTGATTAAGGTAAAGTATTTGTCTGGTTTAGACTCTCAGAGGTGGTATTTTATGTAATCTCTACTGTAAGGTCAGAAATGGAGAGGGAGAGAAAAGGGAGACAATCTGAGCTATTGCCAAAGACCAGTCAGCCTCACATCCTAACACCTTGACCTTCCCTGAGGCTTTGGCTGGCCACAGATCCGCTAGGCTGGGGCAGAACCTTGGAGAGCCGGGATGAGGCCCGAGAGTGTGCAACCCAGGAGGGTGGCAGAGACCCCGGAGGGATGCGGGGAGGCTGCGAGCGCGCTGGCGGGGGCCGGCAGGGAACACTCGGGGAGCATGCTAATGAGCTGAGCCCCCAGCACCCGCCCCGCCCGGCCCGCCGCGCAGGAGCCGCGCCGGGGCTGGGGCACGCGGTGCCACTCAGGCCCGCGGGGGGCGCGCAGCTCGCTGCAGCCGCGAGCCCCGGCCTCTCAAAGCCCTTTTCAGCAACTCTGCGGGCTCCTCACCAGAGGAGTCTGCAGCGACATAAAAGCGCATTATGAAAATTATAATATCAGCCATAGAGCATGTCCATCGAGGCAGCCCTGCACCTTTGCCGGGGCTGGGGCACGCGGTGCCACTCAGGCCCGCGGGGGGCGCGCAGCTCGCTGCAGCCGCGAGCCCCGGCCTCTCAAAGCCCTTTTCAGCAACTCTGCGGGCTCCTCACCAGAGGAGTCTGCAGCGACATAAAAGCGCATTATGAAAATTATAATATCAGCCATAGAGCATGTCCATCGAGGCAGCCCTGCACCTTTGAGGCATTGAGCCTCGTTCAGCTGGGCCGAGGGGAGAAATATCCATTTGAATTCGGCCCCTGAATGGGGCCAGCGGTGGAGGCCAGTGCAACAGAGCTTCCTTTATCCGATCGGCCACTTCCCCTGCTTGCTCATTCCTGGGCTGTTGCACCTTGTCGCCTTATGGGCAGGGGTGTGGAGCGGGAGGGGCGCGAGCAGGGTAAGGGAGCTGAAGGGGAAGGCCCCCCCACCCCCGATTCACAGCCAGCCTGGACAGGGAGTGCTGTCTTTTGGGTCCCCAGGAGAAAGATAACTGAGGCTTTCTAGGGCCCAACGGTATATTCGCTCACGGGGCCCGAAGAAACTGGGGGTCAAGGGCTGAGTGAATTTGATAGAGGCCAGAAAAGCGCATTGGGGATCGGGTCCCATTTTCTTGTCTCTGTGCCAGGCGAGAGTTGCCAGCATCGGGGCATTTTCCCACCCGAGTTCGGATTCCAACGCCTGGAACTGCTGTAGGGCAGGAAGGGAAGATGAAGTCCGGCTCAGAGTGGACCCCGCTCTCGGGTCGCCGCCCAGTGGACAGGGTGCACCACGTCAGTGGTCTGACCCCAGAAAGCCAAGTCGCTGGACACGCGCTCGGACTCCTTGGGATCCTGGGGTGGCACTGGCACGCTAAGGCCCCAGGCGGGCCTGTTGTATTATTGCAGATGAGTTGCTCCTGCATTGAGTCCTGTCCATTGTCTTGTTAATCACCTTTCATTACAGAGTGCTCGCCACTGCCAGAAGCTTTTAATATTAATAAGACCCAGCGCATCAGCTCCCACACCCGGGTCCTGAGCTGTCCAGCAGACAACGCAGGGGCTGCGCTACAACCTGTTCAGCCAGCCTAGACCCAGTGTTTCTCCGGGTTAGCCAACTGCGCGCGGGGGGCGGGTGGGGGTGGGGGTG